CCTGTAAATTGACTTCAGACTCCTTCCTGGGTGTCCTCCAGCAGGGAGCCCCTGCCAGTTCAGGCAGCGTAGGAGCAGGATGAATTTGCGGAGCACTTGGGGCAGGGTGGGAGGATCCAAGAGGCTCAGGCAGGAGAGGAGGCTGGACAGGCCCTGCTGAGGTGGAAGGGGGCATCGCACCAGGGGTGGGGATGATCCTGAGCCTTGGCAAGCCAGAGGAAAGCTGCCGGCTGGATACCCACACACACCCATGGTCAAGTTTCCTGACTGCGAATCCCTCCCTGCCAGGGACTCAACAGGTGTCCCCGGGTCAAGGGACAGGGTGCCACACCTCCACCCAGCTCTCACACCCACAGTTCAAGCGGCCACAGATTCACAAGAAGAACCGGAAAAGCAAGGAATCAGGTGCCAGTGGGTGGTATCCTCCCAAAAGGGGCAGCAGAGCGAGCGGGATGGGAGAAGAGCTGCGGGAGGCTGTGGGGAGAGGCCCGCCCCACCCAGCACCCCCCACCCACGTGCACCACACCCCCAGGCAGGGGAGCCTCCAGGGCTGGGGTCTATGCCTCAGGGTGCCACCCACCTCATTGTCCAGGCCACAGCAGGGCCCAGGGGTGGAGGTGGTAGACAAGCTGGGTCAGGGACAGGCCCCTGGGGGTCCTGTCATGCCTGCACCACCAGGGTGTGTGTACCCTGTGCTGTGGGCCTGTCACGCAGGCAGAAGGGCAGCCTGGCGTTTGCCTCTGCACTCTCATGGAGAGGACTCGTCTGACGTCCTGCCGCCTTCTCCCCTGGGGGAAGGCAGCCTGGCCCTGCGGCTGCCGTTCAATGCCTGGTCCCATGCAATCCCAGCACAACCTGAAGGGTTGGCATTGTTCTCTGCCTGTGTTGCAGGGGAGACCCTGAGATTCAGAGAAGCAAAGCCACCTGCCTAAGATTGCACAGCCTTGAAGTGGCAGAGTCAGGATCCAAATCCGGGCCTGCCTCATCCAGAACCTGGGCTTTTCTCACATAGCCCCTGCCCCATGTCCCAGGTCCCAGGTCCCAGTCCCTGCAGTCCCTGGTGCTGCAGAAAGTGAGGGATGGAGGATGTGTCATCCCCAGAGACAGCATCTCCTGCCAAGTGGGGGTGGGCAGGCTTGGCATGGTACTGTGTGCTGCCCAGTCAGGGTGTCTGCTCTTGTAGTGTCGGGGGCGGAGAGAGGCTGGAAGGACTTGGAGGCTGCAAACAAAAGCAGCCAAGCTCTTGGGTAGGGCTGGGCTGGGCTTGAAACCTGGGTCAGTGGGGGCCCTTCCACACACCACTCAAAAGTGTTCCCACTCTCATCTCACTGCTCCCCTGCTGCCTCCAGCCCTGCCTCCCACGGACCTCGCCTGTCAGGGTGCCGTCTCCCCTCCCTGTCCCCTCCCATCCACCCTCACATAGACCCAGCAAATCTCGCCCTGGACCTGACCTTCGCGTTCCCCCCGCCCTGCGGCCCCTCCTGTCCTGAACTGCCAGGCTGGGCGGGGGAGCCCCTGGTCTCGCTCCCACCCTCCTCGCCCCAGCTCTGCCCTCACGGAGCCCCGGGGGCTCCTCGCAGCTTCCTCCAGGCCCTATTCCCCGCCAGGCAAATCCTCCCGACCTCTCCAAATCAGAGGGACCGAATCCGTTCCCTCTGCAGAAAACACTGGAGGTTCCTCAAGTGTTACAGGGCTGCCAGCTCAGCCTGCCCGAGAACCCACAGGCCCTGGAGAACAATCGGAAAAGCAACTCTGAGTTGCTCCTGGGGCCCTTAGGACTCCTTAGCATGGAGTTTCCTCCAGCAGAGCTCGGCGCCTCTGGCCACGCTGATCAAGTCTAAGTCCTACGGTCATAAAGTCACAGATGAGTCCTAGTCCTTCAAATCTCCAACCCTGTGTAACAGCCGAACCTCTGAACCTGCCTGACACTGAAGAAGCTCCCCATGCCACTCAGACCCCTCGTCCCCCTCGTCCCCCTCGTCCTTCCACTGGGCATGGGGGCAGAAGAGTCCCGCCTGTCAGCACTGGGGACAGGTGGTCCTGTGCTCTTGGTGCTTGCGGTGTTTGGAGTGGACTCCCTTATGGCATTTCAGGGGCCACTCGGGGGTCCCCACGGAGCGTACTGCCTGGGCTCCTGTGCTTCTCGCTCCCTCCTCGGCCACCAGGTACCCAGGCCACCCTGGTCCTCCTCCTGGGCCATCTGCCCCTGTAGGCAGCTGCATGAGCAGAATCTAAGAGGATGCCTCGCCAGCTCACTGCCGCTGGCCACAGGGTCCCATGAGGGATGCACTGCCTTTGCCAGGACAAGGGACAAAGCATGATGCAGCCACAGCTGCCCCTGCTGTGAGACAGACACCCGCCACCATGCCCTCTCTCAGTGGACACATTCCAAGCTCTGTGAGGGTCCCGCTGAAGCCTCTCTAGGCCTGGGGTGGGAAGCAGGCACCCCCAGGGGAGCCTGGGTGCCCGTGTGGTTCTCTCCAAGCCCCCTCTTCACACACCATCTCTGACCCCTGTGACCTCCATATGATCGTGGTCCCATGTAGCCTCTTGTCGGCCACCTGACCAAAAACTTGTGACCTCTACGAGGGGTCTGACAAGCCTGCCTTTACATCTGGTGGCTACTGTGCTTTGTGCCACCACAAACACCCCGTCCTGGGTCTTGTCACACGTGGCCCCGTCTCTGACTGCTACCTCCCAGACCAGGCGCTGGCTCCTCTTCCTCAGCAGTCAGACTCACCTGGGTTCAAAGCCCAGCTCCGGTGCTCACGATCTCTGTGGCTTTGGGCCTCTAAGACCCGCTGGGGTTTTTTTTGTCTGCAAAGGGGGCTGAGACAGTTGCCTCAGGATTGTTGTGTTTAATAGACACGGGCCCGTGTCACACCCAGCCAGGGCATGCTTTCTACACATTCTTTTTCCCTTCTGTCCATGTGCTCCTGCTTCCCGGTCACAAATGCCCTTTGGATCCCCTGGTCACCAACATGCCCCTCCCTCACCCTCCCACACAGACTTAGTGGTCCCCCCACCAGCTCTCCCCACAGATTCCCTCTGCTCCACATCAGCCTTCTCTGTTAGCCTGGAAATGGTGCTAGGGCAGGGAGCCCAGATGGGGCCTGTGACCTAACTCGTACCCCTTAAATGTCTGGGAGACTCAAGCAAATAATAGCTGGAAAAAAATTCATGGGCTTGGAAATTACTGTGAACCTGTTTGCAGTGCTGAGCCTTAACTGGCAGCCTCTTCTAGTCAGCAGCCAACTGGAGCAGTGGGAGCTGGACCCCACAGCCCTCACCCCAGAAGGGGCCTCCTGGAGGCACAGGTCCAGGAGAAGGGGTGGGAGCCGGGCAGCTGCCGTGATCCGAGCTCTGGGGTGCTGACACCCCAGTAAAAGGCAGGAACAGTGGAGGTGATTAGCACCTCACCCAGCCAGGACCCAGGGCCTTGACTGCCACTGCAGACCTCCTCCCCTCCCCTGGCTTTTAGCCTGATGTCTCCAGGCTGGCCGTAGATATTGATCGAGCTCATGTCAGAGGCTGCTTCCTGCCTGCACATTTCGGAGACAGCAGTTTCACCAGAGGTCTGAGGTTCTCGCTCCGAAGGCTCTGCTCGCCCAGCAGACCTGAGCCAGAGCTGTGCATTTTCATGATCCCAGCCCTCTGACCTTAAAATAACAAATCCCAGAAGAACACAGAACCATAGATGTCTATTTTTATAGATTTCCCTAGAATGGTAAAGATCGGCTTAACTGCACTAACAGATTCCATCATTTTCTAGAAGGATGCCTTGAATGGGGAGAATTTTTTAAGACAATTGGATGAATGTCTTTCTTCCAGGACAAACAGGAAAGAGGCTTTGTGGTACTGGCAGCGTGTCCATCCTCCCCTGGGCCTGGGGCAGCCTCTTAGATACACTGTGAGGAAGAAAGGCCCCAGAACAGGCCCCAGTGCGGCCACTTTCCTGGTGATGTGGGTGAGGTGCCAACCCCCGCCCCTACGAGGCCACACCAGCCGGGCACCGCTCGCCCCAGCTGCCCCATAGGGTCGCAATGAAAACCAGCTGGAGGATGCAGGCAAAAGTTGGCAGATGGTTCCTGAACCAAGTCTGCAGTCTAAGTAGATGCGGGCCAGGACCAGAGAAGGAGGCACAGGTAGGGGGGCCGCAGGGCAGACACATGGAGAGGGACGTGGCCTGTGCGTGCACCCACTACGGTGGGCATCTGGGCAGAGTGAGGCTCTCAGCCGCTGCAGTCCGTCCCACCCCCTTTCTTCTTGTCCTTCCTGGCCCACCAGAGACCCTGGAGGATCCTGCCCTCGTACCCTGCCCCTCCCCATCTCAGACAAACCTCTGCCCTGAATCAATGCTCCTTGTTTTAGGACAAAACTAATATGTTGCTGTTGTTAAACACCAATCCTGTAACAACAGAGTCCAGAGACACAAAGTACAGAGTAAAACCCCCTCCCACGCAGCCACCAGAGGGCAGCCCCGGCACAGGGGCTTCTCCGCCTGGAGGGGGCCTAGCGCCAGCTCTGTGCAAGTTCCTGGATCTTCCGCAAGTGAGCGTTGTCGTATTAATTACAACAAAGCCGACCCACTGTGACAGCGGATTGCCAGTGGATTCCAGGGAACTGTTAGTGCCTTTAGTTCTTTGAGGGTTGGGGTGTCTCTTTAGTGGCTCAACAGGAAGCTCAAGACATCAGCATGGGCAGAGCAGTGAGGGATTAACCAAGGGGGAAGGCCATCTCTGTCCCTGTCCCTGCATCTTCCAGAAGGCCTGGCCTCACCTTGGGACCCCTTTCCCGGGCTCTGGCTCAGGTCTGAGGTGAAGAGACCAGCCTGGCCTCATGCCAGCCCCATACCACGGGCAGGAGGCCCACGCCTTGCTTTCCCCAACAAAATAAATCTTGCGGCTCCTGAGCATCTCAAACGCACAATCTTCTCCCGATTAACAACCCGGCCTGCTTGTTCTTGGCTGCTCGCTGTGACCTCAATTTAGAACTGTCTGCTGTTCAGCTGCGGAGAAGGAAGGGCCTGGGGAGACAGGGAATTCTGCAGTAGAGGGGCTTGTGCGGCTGAAGTCTGGGGGCTGCTGATCTGGCCCAGAATCTGACCAGCACCTTGCGGCCTGCAGGAGGGGTTAGGGACCCAGCCAGGCAGGGCCGCAGCTTTGGGGATTTTCATACTGTTTCCAAGGTGCTGCTGCAGAGTGAGGGGTGGGGATGGGGAAAAGGGGTGGCCCCTGCAGACATGGCTTTGTAATAGTCACTGAACTTCATGATCCCAGCTGAAATGACCTCATGTGGACACCTCTGCATTGTTAGAAAAACCACTCTTGGGATATTGCTTGTTACACTGTATGAAAACTTGACAGATCCTCTCTGAGCTCCCACTCCGGGAAAGGTTCTTCTCTCCTGCTGCCTGGCGTGCCTCCGCCTTTGGCACAGGGAAAGCCACGGGCGGACCTGCCTCCCTCTCCGTCTACTGCCAGGAAGCGGTCAGATTTCCTGATTTTGTTTTCCTGCCTCCTTCTTCTTTACTCCTCATCCTCCACCAGGTTTTGGTTTTCCCAGACCTGTACTTTTATCCAACTTGGCCTTTGGGAAGAAGAGGGTGTGGGAGCTCTGGTATCCCCAGCTCTGGGCAGGGTTGCAGCTTCACTCCAGAGCTGGTGGGGGATAGAGAGCAAAAGGCTTGACCTCCCTGACCCTCAGACTCTTCCTCTCTATGACACAGACTCTTACCTTGCCTCGGGGTGTACTAGGAGAGGTGGAGTCGTGCATGTAATGTTCTGGGCACAACACCTGCACATGGTGGGTGTGGGAGAGATGTGAGCCTCACCTGCACATGGTGGGTGTAGGAGAGGTGTGAGCCTCACCTGCACATGGTG